AAAAAAAAAAAAATAAATAAAAAAAACACATCATAGTAAAACCAATACCTTCTTAGATTCGTATCGAAGCTAAAACAGTGGGGTCGTCGCATAGTTGGGTCCAGTATAGATGTTATCTGACAGTGATTAAAATCACTATCATAAAAAACCCTTCGATGCAAATCTGTAGATAGTGTTTAATTAAAAAAAAAAAAAATTGTTAAAATAGCATATTTTTGAATACGGTAGCCATTTTCGCATAGAAGATAGGTCGTCGGGAAAAATTTTTTTTTTTATTTGATAGTACATAAAATAAGCTTAAATTTAATATATGTTTGAAGGACACAGTATTTCCGGAACATTTTCAAAAATTAAGTTGAAAAAGTTAATTTTAGTAAAAAAGTTACTATTTTAAATCCCCCCATTGATTAGGTTAAGTATTAGATTTTCAAAAAAAAGATATCAAATGAAAGAAATATATCTAAGGTTTTCGTATAAAAAAAATTATGTTGATTTGTTGATTTTTGAAAAAGTTATGGAAGTTTTAAGAAAAAAAAGTGAAAAAAATGAAAAAATTTACCGATTTTTAAATTTGAAATTTTTTTGGATATTTCCCCCATTTTTGGGGAACGAGGGAATTTTTTTCAATTTTTAAGGGTAATGTCTCCAACTAGGTACAATTTATGATCTTTTGACGTATTTTTGAAAGAAATCGGTCCAGTGAGAGCTGAGAAAAAGTGGCAACAGTCATAAAAAAAAAAAAAAAAACAAACAGTAAAAAAAATACCTTCTCAGCTTCGCATCGAAGCTAAATGATAATAAAATTAAATAATGCTTACCTCCTGTTAAATTATTAGCATTAAATCTACCAACTAAACAAGAAAGTTTGGAAAAGTTAGAAAATAGTATAAACAGATAAGTATAAATTATTTTAATAATAAAATTTAATGTTATATTAATAATCTATAAAAATTTTAATTTTTTTTTTTTTTGAATAATGTATATCTTTAAGTAAAAGTTAATACGTGTATGAAAAAATATAAAAAATAGTTTTTTCACTAAAAATATATTATATTATATTAACTATGCGTTTTAACCATTCTATAAAAATAATAATAAAATTATATAATGCTTACCTCCTGTTGTAGTATTAACACCAAATCTTCCACCTATACAAATAACATTAGTAATTCTATTTTATTTTTTAAATAGTATTAAAATTTAAGAATAAATTATATATTTAACTGATACTTATACATTATAATAATACAAAGTGTAATGTTTTATTAATAAATTATAAAAATCTTATATTTTTTTTAATGACTTGTATACGAATTTTAAAGTTAACACGTGTGTGAAAATATTTAGAGAATAGTTATTCTCTCAATTTAACTTTTTATAAATATTCGAATTAACCTATCCATAAAAAAGAACGGTAGCACAGTGGCGTCGAGGCACAGTGNAAAAAAAACCCAGCACAGTGGGGTCGCGGCATAGTGGGGATGTTGCATAGTTGGGTCCAGTATAGATTTAATCTGACAGTGATTAAAATCACTATCATAAGAAACGCTTCGATACAAATCAGTAGATAGTGTTTAATTCTAAGAAATTGGTGGATGATTACAAAATCAACATCATCTCTTATTTTTTTAATTATATCCTGATTAGTAGTTCTTTTATTTTAAAATATAATAAATGAATAAATACTAATTATAGTTATTAAATTTAGTATGAAATTGAAATTCAATAATTTAATATTGTATTTTTTACGGATAAATTATAAAAATAATAAAGAATTTATATTTTGCTTTACTTTTAAGGGTATAAAAGTTTAAAGGGCTTGATGTAATATTTTTTAATAAAAATTGTTTGTTTTTATAAATAAATGCACTGGACTACCAGGAACTTAAAGAGAAATCATAGTAATCATTTTTAAGTAACTTTTGGTAGTTAAAAAGATTCTACAATTAAAATATACAAAACTGAATTAATTTTAATGATTTACTTTTATTAAAAAAAAAATTTATCATTTTGAATCCCTCTTGTGGGCAGGTAAAGGGTTAGATTTATAAAAAAAACGAAATAGTAGTAATAATTTCCTAGTAACTTTTGGTGTTTAAAAACATTCTACAATTGAAATATTCAGAACTTAAATTTTAATGATTTACTTTAACTAAATAAACAAATCAAAACAAAGTTTTTAAAAACATTTACTCAAATGAGCGTATATTAAAATTTGATTATAATTGTAAACATCCATTGTTAATTTAGGGGAAACTAACAATCATTTTTTTTTAGAATAGAAATAGAGTTATATAGGAACATGTTACTAAAAACTTTGGAATATTATAGTCTAGTACATAAATAGAGTAATAAATTATTAAATTACAAAGTAAAATGATTTAATTTTGTAGTTGAAACCTATCATATCAAATTATCACGTCAAACTTGATTCATCAATAAATACTTTGAAAACTTTAGAAATTAATGATTTTAATTGTCTGTATGGAGAACATGGGATTAGTAACTGTTTAATTGGAATTTTTTTCAATTTTTGAGGGTAGTATCACTAACTAGATACGAACTGTAGTCATTTGACTTATCGTTTAAAAAAGTAGGTCAAGTTAGAGCAGAAAAAATAAATGATAGTCACAAAAAAATATCTTCATAGCTTTGCATCGAAGCTAAAACTTAAAATATAGTAAAATAATTTTAATATGAATAAGAAATTTCTTCTCGCGGGTGGCAACAAGCAATTGAATTCTAGTGAGATAAAAATCAAAGCTGTTAAAAATTTATTCTAATTTAAAAAGAATTATGAAAAATTGCAAAAATCTCCTTGCCACACCTGGATTGAAACCTTGTACCCCATACGTGTAAGATACAGTTTTATCGACTCGACAACCGTACGTCGGTACCGTTAATTGAAAAAAATGGCAATTTAAGCTAGTTCAAATTTCATAGTTATTTTTCTCGACTTCAAAAAAGCAAAAAATTTTAACACAAAAATAGCATATTTTTGCATATGTTAGTCATTTTCAGCATAAAAACAAGTCCAGATGTCAAATTTTTTTTTTCAAAATAAAGTATATTACATAAGTTTTAATTTAAGGTATATATAAAAAAAAATTAGATTTATTCGATCATTTTTAAAAAAGTTATGGATTTTTCGAGTAAAAAAATTGAAAAAATGTCGAAAATTAGCGATTTTTAAATTTGTAATTTGTTGGAGGATTTACGTGAACGAGTGAATTTTTTTTTCAAATTTTGAGGTTAATGTATTTGGCTAGAAACAAATTGTGATCATTTGACATATTGTTCATCAAAATCGGTCCAGCGAGTGCTGACATTGAGTGTTCACAGACAAAAAAAAATATATAAATAAAAAAAACACATCATAGTAAAATTAATACCCTCTCAGCTTCGCATCCAAGCTAAAATAATAATAAAATTAAATAACCCTTACTTCCTGTTGAGATATTAGCACCAAATCTTCCACCTAAACATAGAACATTAGTAATTCTGTTTTATTTTTTAAATAGTATTAAAATTTAAGTATTAATTATATAATGAACTGATTCTTATAGATCATAGTAATTATAAATTTTAATGTTATATTAATAAACTATAGTAATTTTATTTATTTTTTAATAACTTGTACTCGAAAGTAATAATTAATACGTATATGATAATACATAAAAAATTACTTTTTCTCTCACCAGAATTTTTTTTAAATATGCTAATTAACCATTTCATAAAAAATAATAATAAAATTAAATAATGTTTACCTCCTGTTGAGGTATTAGAACCAAATCTTCCACCTAAACATAGAATATTAGTAATTCAATGTTAATTTTTAAATAGTATTAAAATTTAAACATTAATGATATAATTAACTGATAATTTAAAATTCTTCTTCTTCTTTTTCCTCACCTTAATCTCAACTACTTGGGATCGGCCATCCTTATCCTAAACTTTCACTTGATACGATCTCCCACATCAACTACGCTCACATTAGCTAACCTCAAATCGCATTCAATAGCAACCATCCATCTCTTTTTTGGTCTTTCTCTAACTCTTCTTCCTTCAACATTAATTTCTACAACTGTTCTTATAGCTTCCGATTCTTCTCTCCTCATAACATGATCAAACTATCTAAATCTATTTTCCCTATTCATATCCACGATTGACGCTACACCTATACTCTCTCCTATATGCTTGTTCTCTAGTCACTCAACTCATCGCTAATTTTCGAAATTTTTCAATTTTTTTTACTTAAAATTGCAATAACTTTTTCAAAAGTGAACAAATCAATATAATTTTTTTTTATAGATGCTTGATGTCTTTACCTATCATTTGGTATATTTTTTTTATAAATTTAACACTAGACCTGCCCACAGGGAGGGATTTAAAATGACAACTTTTTCAACTTAAATTTTGAAAGTGTTCCGGAATTACTGACACTTTTATATTATCTTATAGCTAATGTGATATACTTTATTATGAAAAAAAAAAAAATTTCGGACATATCTTCACGATGAAAATAGCTACCGAATGATATTTTTGTGTGAAAATTTTCGATTTTGTATTTTACATTTTTAACTTTATTATGCTATAACTTTTTGAAAAATGTATGGATCAATACAATTTTTTCATGAGAAGTAATATTTATATACATCTTTCATTCGACATACTGTTTTTTTTAAATCGGACCATTTCCCTTAATACAGAGGAGGGTTCAAAACATAAAAATGCATGCATTTTTCAACTTAACTTTTGAAAGTGTTCCGGAAAGTCTGACACTTTTATATATGTATTAAATTAAAGCAAATATAATGCTATAACTTTTTGAAAGATTTATGGATCAATATAATTCTTTTTTTTATAGATGCATGATGTCTTTACCTATCATTTGGTATATTTTTTTTATAAATCTGACTTTTTACCTGCCTACAGGGGGGGATTCAAAATGACAACTTTTTCACAAAAAATTTACTTTTTCAACTTAAATTTTGAAAGTGTTCCGGAAAGTCTGACACTTTTATATATATATTAAATTAAAGCTAATGTAATGCTAATGTAAAAATCGAACATGTCCATTTTCTTCTTGACAAACAATACTGGACTGGAGTATAGTGATTTGCTATCATCTACAATATTCACGTACATACGTACACTATTGTTTCCTAGTCACTCACATCTTTCACTACGCTCAAAACAACGTACTTACTATAGCCATCTATAAAAGTCAGCACATACTTATTGTCCCTATCAGTCAACACAAATGGACCTATATGATCTAAATGTACAGTTAAAATAGGTTGGTTACTCTTATACAAAGGATGCCAATACGTAGCTCCTTTATTACCTTATAATATGAACAATTTATATATCTATTTACGTACTGCATAACAACATTTTTCATATTAGGAAAATATTTATTTATTTTATTTTTGCTAAAGTTTTCTCCACACCCAAATGTGAAAGCTCACGATGGGCCTCACTAACTATGTTATATCTTATTCCTTTGGGTAAATACAAACTCAATCTTTCTTTGGTAGTTCTATACAACCGACCGTCCTCTAACTCATAATTGTGTGTTATACTCGAGTCTTCATTATTAATTTTCTGTACTAGTTCTGCTACCTCAACACTGTTTCACTGCATTCATGCTACCCAGACTGTAGTTATTTTAATATCAAATATGTGTAAATTAGCTGTTTCAATTATTTAACTAAGTGCATCTGATAATGAATTACAAAAACCACTTATGTATTCGATAGTATAGTACTAAGACATTTTCATAAGCCAACGAACGGTTTGCAGTGATAAATCACGTTTATCATCTAATAATTTCAAACTATTACTATCAGTTTTTATTAAAAAATGTATACCTATTAAATAAACTCGAAAACGTTAGTAAGAATTGACAATATCAAATGGTTCGAGTTCATAAGATTGATAATCTAACTGTTCCCGTGTTGTTTTATCACAATAAAAACTAATCTGATGTAATAAGTTATCTTATTGTTAATGAAATAATACCTTACCAATACAGTTTTTACTATCGTCTCGGTGTGTGCCTCAGTGTTATACAATTTTAAAATTAAATTTGTATAATAGATTGTACAATATTTCGAAAGAATTAAGCTGTTCAGTACTCAATTCGAATTTAGTATTTTTACTTAACAAATTTGTAAGCTGTCGTGCTTTAAGATCGAAATTACGAAAAAATCTACGAAAGTAGCTAGCTAAACCTACGAAACTACATACAGCTCGGACATATTTTGGGAATAGAAAATTTTTCAATAGCTAACAATTTTCTCTTTCCTGATTCTATACCGTCTTAACTTACTTGAAATACTAAGTACTCTATCTTAGTCATAAAAAAACTACACTTATCAATTCTCAAAGTCGAACCAGCCTCTCTAAGAGAATGAAAAACTGATTTTAAATTTGTTAAACCTTCTTCGACTGTTTTACTTGATATTAGTACATCGTCTAAATAAGCTGATGCAACAATAAACCAAAGAGATCCAAGAGCAGTTGCTATTAGTTTGTTAAAATTTGCTGGACCGTTTGACAACCAAATAGCATGCGTTTAAATTGATATAGGCCATCTGTGGTGATTAAAGCTGTTCATGATTTTGTTAATCTATTATTAATAGAAATCTGATAGTAACCACAAAAAAGATCTAAACTAGTAAAATATTTGTTACCACAAAGTCTGTCAATCTAATCATCGATTCTTGGCAAAAGATATTTATCTTGTATGGTCTTAGATTTTAATTTTCGGTTATCAACACATAATCGAACATCTCCAGTTTTCTTCTTGACAAACAATACTGCACTGAAGAGTATGGTGATTTACTATCATCTACAATATTCACATCTTTAAGTTCATTGACTATATCACTGACTTGTATTAGTTGGTGAAAAGATATTCTATACGGTCGATACACCCACTACAGGCTGATCGTCATTCATATCAAGTTTTATTTGAGCTAAATGTGTATATCCAATTTGTCGTATATTTTTCGCCACCAGATCACGATATTCGTTTATCACTGTCTTGTAACTGGTCAGCATTTAAGTCCGTGATAACTTCGTCTGCATTAACTGATTCAATATTTACTTCACGAGTACAAATTTCGTTGTTGTTATACAACTCGATGAAGGTTACGCCACGAGTAACTGTGTCACCTTATTTGACAACGAATTGTTCATTAGACAAGTTCAACACAGGCACTTGTGTTAGCCCTTGATTATCAATTGAGACTAAACTTCGAAGGACCAATTGTTTTGAAGTACGTAGCCCTTCTTCACAATTCAGTTTTCGATAAAATTGAACTAACCGATATATGTCCAACATGAATTTTCGGTATTACCACGGCCGTAGTCGACCATAGTGGCACTTTGTTGTTATAGTTGTCTTAATACGACCTAACCTTTAGATTTATTCTCATATCCATGAAATTACGCGATTTCAATCAATCATCTGATATGTAATGTGCTACAGACTTAAAATGTTGTAAACACACACACTAAAATTATTTTTCAAAAAAAAATTACGCAGAACCACTGGCTAAAAAAAGGTACTAATCTTAACGTATACTTAAACACAATAGAACTAACCCTCCGCTCGTTATACACACGTTTACCTTACATCTGATCTATAATAAATAATATAAAGTACTCAATAATAAAGGTACAAGACGTCAAGATTTAGTATACAAAAAATAAGTAAATATACATATTACGTTGAAAACAAAATTAGTAAATACAAGCATATCGAAAGTAATCTGCAAAAAAATAGAAGAAGGTCAACTATCTTTATTACCATCCATTCTGGTGACATTAAGGTCGATCAACAGTATAGCGACGATAAAATGATCTCTCCGCTACTTTTATACACTGTATAAACTATACATCACATAAAATTAAAGGAAATAGTATTTTACATCATAATAAATATATATATTAATATATAAAAAAAATAAAAATAAAAATATATAAGACGGACCACACCGAATCGGTAACGCTTGACGCACACTGCCAGGGGTTCGAAACTCGGTCACAGGAGGCTTTATTTGACGAACGAGAGATCAGTTTGGTAATTCGAGTCGCCATACCTCTCTCCGGCGACGGACTAACCAACCGTCCCTGAGTACCAATGGTTTAGAAACTTCCTCCTTTAGGAGAAACCGCTAATGCCCTTAATGGGCTTATTAAGCGTTTATATATATATATATATAAATGCATCACTTAAATGATAAATATTAAATTAATCAGCTACTAATAATAAATTAAAATTATAATACATTTTATTACTCAAATACTAAACCGATAAATTTTATATAATTTTTTAAATTAAACAATTACTCGTGTAAATGTAAAAATATATAAAAAAAATAATGTTACACAGAATTATACTTTATATAAACTATGGCAGTTAAGCATCTCAGAAAATAATACATAATTTATCTTACAAAATGAAATGTAATAATAGACACATCAAAATAAATATATTTAATTACTTAAGTGATAAATATGAAATGTACTATGTTTCAAATTTAAAATCAATAAATCCTGGATTTAACTTTTATGTTTCAAAAAGAAAGAGTGTTATAATGACATGTCATTAGAAATAAATTTCAAAGAATTAATTTATTCATAATACGTCATGTTTCAAAATGAAATAGGGAACGTTATAAATGGGCCTAGGTAATAAGGATCACTAGAAATATATGATGAAACTAATATATTATCATAATAAATTATATTATTATTTAAATTAATTATTCAGTGCATCTTACTGAATGTTAGTAATGTAATGCTTACCTTCTTCTGAGGTATTAACATTTAACCTCATACCTAAACATAGTAGATTAGTTTATTTATTTAATATTTTTAAGAGTATTAAAATTTAAGAAAGGATTACATTATTCACTATTACTTATAAATTAAAATTATAATAGATTTCATTGTTCAAATACTAAACCAATAAATTTTATACATTTTTTAAATTTATTTTTGTTGAAATTAAATGATTATTCGTTTACATGTAGATATATACAAAAAAATTACTATTTATCTAAATTAAACCTTATATAAATTATTCGAATTACCCAACAAATTAAAAATATATTGCCTTAATTTAAACAAATTGAGCGTCTATATTATATTACATCATATTATCATCAGATTTAAATGGCATCACACAAATGATAAATTATGAAATGAGATTAGAATCAAATTTAAAATTAATAAATCTTTGATTTAACCTTCAGGTTTCAAAAAGAAAGAATGATATAATGATATAGGGTACAATTTAAACGGGCCTACATAATTAGGATCACTTGAAATCAACGTTGATACTTATATATTAAAGATATTATCTCAATAAATTATTTTATTATTTAAAAGTACTTTTCTCAAATATTACTGAATGTTAGTAATTTATTGCTTACCTCCTGATGCGACAAAAGGTCTAATATTTGCACCTGAACATAGTAGATTAGTTTATTTATTTAATATTTTTAAGAGTATTAAAATTTAAGAAAGGATTACATTATTCACTATTACTTATAAATTAAAATTATAATAGATTTCATTGTTCAAATACTAAACCAATAAATTTTATACATTTTTTTAATTTATTTTTGTTGAAATTAAATGATTATTCGTTTACATGTAGATATATACAAAAAAATTACTATTTATCTAAATTAAACCTTATATAAATTATTCGAATTACCCAACAAATTAAAAATATATTGCCTTAATTTAAACAAATTGAGCGTCTATATTATATTACATCATATTATCATCAGATTTAAATGGCATCACACAAATGATAAATTATGAAATGAGATTAGAATCAAATTTAAAATTAATAAATCTTTGATTTAACCTTCAGGTTTCAAAAAGAAAGAATGATATAATGATATAGGGTACAATTTAAACGGGCCTACATAATTAGGATCACTTGAAATCAACGTTGATACTTATATATTAAAGATATTATCTCAATAAATTATTTTATTATTTAAAAGTACTTTTCTCAAATATTACTGAATGTTAGTAATTTATTGCTTACCTCCTGATGCGACAAAAGGTCTAATATTTGCACCTGAACATAGTAGATTAGTTTATTTATTTAATATTATTAATAAAATTCTAAAATATTAAATATTGAAAAATATGAAAATATTAAATTTATCAGCTACTAATAATAAATTAAAATTATAATACATTTTATTACTCAAATACTAAACCGATAAATTTTATATAATTTTTTAAATTAAACAATTACTCGTGTAAATGTAAAAATATATAAAGAAAATAATGTTACACAGAATTATACTTTATATAAACTATGGCAGTTAAGCATCTCAGAAAATAATACATAATTTATCTTACAAAATGAAATGTAATAATAGACACATCAAAATAAATATATTTAATTACTTAAGTGATAAATATGAAATGTACTATGTTTCAAATTTAAAATCAATAAATCCTGGATTTAACTTTTATGTTTCAAAAAGAAAGAGTGTTATAATGACATGTCATTAGAAATAAATTTCAAAGAATTAATTTATTCATAATACGTCATGTTTCAAAATGAAATAGGGAACGTTATAAATGGGCCTAGGTAATAAGGATCACTAGAAATATATGATGAAACTAATATATTATCATAATAAATTATATTATTATTTAAATTAATTATTCAGTGCATCTTACTGAATGTTAGTAATGTAATGCTTACCTTCTTCTGAGGTATTAACATTTAACCTCATACCTAAACATAGTAGATTAGTTTATTTATTTAATATTTTTAAGAGTATTAAAATTTAAGAAAGGATTACATTATTCACTATTACTTATAAATTAAAATTATAATAGATTTCATTGTTCAAATACTAAACCAATAAATTTTATACATTTTTTTAATTTATTTTTGTTGAAATTAAATGATTATTCGTTTACATGTAGATATATACAAAAAAATTACTATTTATCTAAATTAAACCTTATATAAATTATTCGAATTACCCAACAAATTAAAAATATATTGCCTTAATTTAAACAAATTGAGCGTCTATATTATATTACATCATATTATCATCAGATTTAAATGGCATCACACAAATGATAAATTATGAAATGAGATTAGAATCAAATTTAAAATTAATAAATCTTTGATTTAACCTTCAGGTTTCAAAAAGAAAGAATGATATAATGATATAGGGTACAATTTAAACGGGCCTACATAATTAGGATCACTTGAAATCAACGTTGATACTTATATATTAAAGATATTATCTCAATAAATTATTTTATTATTTAAAAGTACTTTTCTCAAATATTACTGAATGTTAGTAATTTATTGCTTACCTCCTGATGCGACAAAAGGTCTAATATTTGCACCTGAACATAGTAGATTAGTTTATTTATTTAATATTATTAATAAAATTCTAAAATATTAAATATTGAAAAATATGAAAATATTAAATTTATCAGCTACTAATAATAAATTAAAATTATAATACATTTTATTACTCAAATACTAAACCGATAAATTTTATATAATTTTTTAAATTAAACAATTACTCGTGTAAATGTAAAAATATATAAAAAAAATAATGTTACACAGAATTATACTTTATATAAACTATGGCAGTTAAGCATCTCAGAAAATAATACATAATTTATCTTACAAAATGAAATGTAATAATAGACACATCAAAATAAATATATTTAATTACTTAATTTTGACACTTTATCAATAAAAAAAAAAAATTCGGACTTTATTTTGTCTTAGTGGTGAAAATGGTTGCTACTTTTGTGTGATAATTCTAAATTTAATTTTTTACATTTTTAACTTTATAATGCCTTAACTTATTGAAAAGTGTATGGATCAATACAATTTTTTTATAAGAAATAATATTTATATCCCTCTTTTATTCGATATACTTCATTTATATTTTAATCAGGATATAAATAAGGAAATAGTAGATCATGTAACTTTTGGAATAATTCACCAATTTTTTAAAATTAAACTCTATCTAAAGATTTGTATCGAAGCGTTTCTAATGATAGTGATTTTAATCACTGACAGATATCATTATACTTGACTCAACTATGTCACCACTGTGCCTCAACCCTTTTGTTATGGGTTTTTTTTAAATATCTTTTTGTTGAAATTAATCAATTTTTCGTGTAAATATAAAAATATATAAAACAGTACTTTTCATTAAATTGAACCCTATATAAACTATTTTAGTTAACTAACAAAAAAAAGGGTAGTAATTTATTGCTTACCTTCAGCTGAGGTATTCACACTGTACCTATCATCTAAACATATTAGATTAGTTTTTTTATTTAATATTTTTAATATTATTCAAATTTAAGAAAAGATTACTTTATTAACTACTAATAATACATTTGTGTTAACTATATATAATTTTTTTCACATCTAACTTTTATATAAACAATGCAAGGTACCAAAATCATAAACAATAATAGTTAATTTATTAAAATAAAGTGAAACTACATAGTATTTTACATCAAAAAGAGATGTATAATTGTTTCAGACAAGTGAAAAATTTGACGTGTAATTGGAATCAAATTTCAAATAATTAATTAATTTACAGTACGTTCATTTTTCATAGTAAATTTTGATATATTAAAATAAGATAAGTTGTAAATGGGTCTAGTATTTAGGATCGATAGAAATAAATTATTAAACTAATATAATTCAGTAAATAAAAAATAACTAGTTTGAATTTTAAAAATATGTATCAATTGATATATATTTATAAAAAAATACAAAATTCACATTTTAGTACAATTTTTTATGGTGAAAAAATAATAGAAAAATCGTTATTAATCTGCATTTATTAGACCAATAAGATGTCATTGTCTTATAATGAAACTTGAAGTTTTATTAAACCCTTAAACATTTTATACATTCTTCAAACCAATATTGAATTGTTTTAATATCAATTTTTTATTTTTGTGGAACTCAGTGCAGTCTACATAAAATGTGTATAATGTTTTGAACTCAATGTTGTACCGTATAATGAAAAAAGGAATAAACGAAAAATTAAATAGGAATAATATTCTATATTGTACCGTATAATTAAATTTATTAATATTTTGCTTACCGTTTGAAGTACTAGCACCATCTAAATGAAGCATATTTTAGTTTTATTTTATTTTGCTCAAAGTATTTAAATTTAAGAAAACATGAATTTATTAATTATTTATCAATAATTTCAATAAATAAAAAATAACTAGTTTGAATTTTAAAAATATGTTTCAATTGATACATTTTTATAAAAAAATACAAAATTCACATTTTAATAAAAATTTTTATGTTGACAAAATACAGAAAAATTGTTATTAATCTGCATTTATTAGACCAATAAGATGTCATTGTCTTATAATGAAACTTGAAGTTTTATTAAACCCTTAAACACTTTATACATTCTTCAAACCAATATTGAACTGTTCTAATATCAATTTTTTACTTTTGTGGAACTTAATGCAGTCTATGTAAAATATGTTCATTATTTTGAACTCAATATTGTACCGTATAAATAAAAAAAAGAACGAACGGAAAATTAAATAGGAATAATATTCTGTATTATACCGTATAATTAAATTTAGTAATATTTTGCTTACCATTTGAAGTACTATCACCACCACCTACAACTAAATGAATCATATTTTAGTTTTATTTTATTTTGCTCAAAGTATTCAAATTTAAGAAAACATTAATTATAAATCAATACATTCAATAAATAAAATCGTATTCAATTGAAGACATAACCCTTAAAAATTGAAAAATACTCCCTCGTTCCCCGCAAATGGGGAAATCTCCAACAAAATTATAAATTTAAAAATCGGTAAATTTTGTCATTTTTTTCACTTTTTTTTCTTAAAACTTTTATAACTTTTTCAAAAATCAACATATCAACATACATTTTTTTTATACTAAAACCTTAGGTATATTCCTTTTATTTGATATCATTTTTTTGAAAATTTAACACTTAACCTGCTCACTGGGGGGGGATTAAAATAGAAACTTTTTTACAAAAACTAACTTTTTCAACTTAATTTTTGATTAAAATTTATAAATTGAGTAAATCTTTTTAACAAATTTATTTTGATTGGTTCATTTTGTTAAAGTATATCATTAAAATGAATTAAGTTCTGAATATTTCAATTGCAGAATCTTTTTAAACACCAAAACCTATTAGGAAATGATAACTATTATTTCTATTTCTGTTATCTATTACGATAAAAATGCAAAAAAATTGAATTTTTCTAATAATTGTACTGTAAATAGTAATTAAAAAAAATTCCTGATTGCATATTAATATTAACAATTTAATTTTTTTCTATTTAATAATGTCAATTTCAAACTTGCAAGTTGAACTATAAGTTATGGTAACAAATTCATTTTTTTTTATTGAAACTTTCACTTTAAAGGACAAAAAATAGTAGGTTCAAAATGATTACTTTTAACATATTAAAAATCAAAATCAATAATAATTTGAAAACAATTAATTTTAAAAATTATATAATACTCTATGGGTTGTCTCTTAACATACACTACACTTTAATGATACTATAAATAAAAAACCCAGCACAGGGGGATCACGGCACAATGGTGACGTGGCATAATTGGATCAAGTATAATAATATCTGACAGTGAACATTTTCAAAAGTTGAGTTGAAAAAGTTAATTTTTTGTGAAAAAGTTGTCATATTAAATCCTCCTCTGTGGGCAGGTTATGTGTCAGATTTACTAAAAAATATATACCAAATGATAGGTAAAGACATCAAGCACCTATAAAAAAAATTAATATGTTATATTGATATGTTCATTTTTGAAAAAGTTACGGCAGTTTTTAGTAGAAAAAATTCGAAAATTAGCGATTTTTAAATTTGTAATTTTTTTGGAGGTTTCCCCCATTTACGGAGAACGAGGGAAATTTTTTCAATTTTTGAGGGAAATGTTTCCGATTAGATACGATTTGTGATCTTTTGACGTATCGTTAAAAGAAATCCGTTCTGTGAGAGCTGAGAAAAAGTGGTAACCGACATAAAAAAAAAACACATCATAGTAAAACCAAGACCTTCTCAGCTTCTCATCGAATCTAATAAACTTGCACATATACACATATGCATTTATAACATTGTGTCTAATGAACGTATAACATGATAAAAAGTAACCTTAAAATGGAAAAAATGAAAAATAAATTTTAGTACTGATATCAAACGTAATGTTACTCGAAAAATATTTGTTGAAATAAAAAAATAGAAGATATTATATTTTGTTTAAACTTTTGTACGAAACTTTTTTTTGTAAGATAAAAATTTGTTGAGAAAATTAAAAAAGCTTATATATTTAAACTTTTGCAAGGCTGTAAAAAAAAATTTCAATTCCAATCAATGAGGATTTTTTGTATGTCATACATATCTTATTTCAACTTTAAAAAAAAAAAAAAAAATTTGGTTGGGAATTTTTTCCGCCATTCGCCAAAATTACTCCCCTTTGTTGGCTAGCCTAGTACACTTAATGTTAAATTCGATGTTCATTGTCTTAATTTAAACCCGATATTATACCGTCAATAATATTTTTAATGAAACTTCATGATTTAAATATTATCTGAATGTGCCAAAATCATCTAAATGATTTTAGTATTTATAGACTTAATTAAGTTTAAAATAATAATAATAAATTTTAAATTTTTAAAATAACTATTCCCAATTGTAAACAGAATTATAATTAAAATTTATTGTTATAAATCTTTAATGATATTATTTTTATCTGTTAAATTATTGATTTAAATAAGTTTGATATTCAATTTAATGTGTTTTGTTTATTCAAAATAATGTGATTTTTTAAAGTGTGATTCAATTTACTATAGTTAAAGTGATTTTTTTTAGATTAATGGCTATTTTATTTTATTTTAAAATGTCTTTAACTATATACAATTTGTAATGTTTTGTCCTATTATTTCTTAGTCAAATAAATGCTGAACACTTTTAAGGGGAGCCAATAATAAATAATAGTAAAATCATTATTTTTCATATATATTTTCATTAGAAGTAAACTATTGTAAAACACATATTTTAATTAAATAGACGATACTATTTATTTAATTCTTCTTAAGTAAAAACAGTATTTTGATTCTTCCAAATATTTCAAAAATACTCCTACACATTTAAAAAAAAATGATTTCGTAAAATTTATGATAACTGAACCAAAGTTAAAAAAATTATATTGAATTTTGTAATAAAATTGAATAGTCAGCAAAAATTAGATACACATACATGTTTATAATTTACACAATTTTTTAAATTAAGGAATCTTTGACAGTTATACTAAGCTATAAATAAATTTCTATTAATTACCGTAGCCGTCATTTTTATTACTTTTAAATAAGAATTCATTTATTAACTTTTAAATAGTATTTTTGAAATACTTTTTAAAAAAGTTTCATGAAGAACACATATTTATTCTTCTTTTGAGTATTCCTAAAATAGACTTAAATAATATTAAAAAAAAAGAGACACTCAATCTAGTTTATTATTGATATACTTTAGCAAAAAAATAATTATATTGAATTTTGTAATGAAATAAATGTTTTCATAAAAATATCACCAAATAGACTTATTATTTACGTATCATAAAAATTCTGTCTAATGAATCCTTATGTTAATTAATACTAAACATATTAAAGGTTTTCATTGTTATACACAATACCAAATTTTAACACACAGGTGTTTTTAAAAAGAAAAAATATATTTTGTTTTAATTTTTGTGTATTTATGTGGCGAATAATTTTGTGGACTATGATAAACGGATCACTTAATATAATATTTAGAGTTACTTACCTTCCAAATAAAATGAGGTGAACACCAAAAAAAATAATATTGATAAAATATATAATTTCTGAAACAAATTTTCTAATTTTAAAACAATATCAATAATTATGAAAATCAGATTAATATCTATATTCACCGAACTAAAATGTTTTTGAAACATATTTTTAGTAATAAATTAGAAAAGATATACTTTAACAACTTCAGTAGAATTGATCATTTTTTAATAATCATTTTTAAAAGTAATTATTTATAATTTTACTACTAATTATCCTATCTATTAATTAAATATTAAGATAAGTAAAAAAAATTTNTATTTTTTTTTTTTTTTGTGTCTGTTACCACTTTTTCTCAGCTCTCACCGAACCGATTTCTTTCAATGATACGTCAAAAGATCACAAATCGTATCTAGTCGAAGACATTACCCTTAAAAATTGAAAAAAATTCCCTCGTTCCCCGTAAAAGGGGGAAACCTCCAAAAAAATTACAAATTTAAAAATCGCTAATTTTCGAAATTTTTTCAATTTTTTTTACTTAAAAGTGCCATAACTTTTTCAAAAATGAACATATCAATATAATTATTTTTTATATAGATGACTAATATCATTGCCTTTCATTTGGTATATTTTTTTCATAAATTTAACCCTTAACCTGCCCACAAGGGGGGATTTAAAATTACAACTTATTCACAAAAATTAATTTTTTTAACTTAAATTTTGAAAATGTTCCGGAAGGTCTGACACTTTTATATATATCTTAAATTAAAGCTAATAAAATATGCTTTATCATGAAAATAAAAAATTTCGGACTTTATCTTATCTTCATGGTGAAAATGGCTACCGAATGCTATTTTTGAGTGAAAATTTTCAATTTTGTATTTTCCATTTTTAACTTTATTATGCTATAACTTCTCGAAAAATGAATGAATCATTACAATTTTTTTATGAAAAGTAGTATTTATATAGATCTTTCATTCGACTTACTTTTTTTTTAAATCGGACCATTTCCCTTAATACAGGGGGGATTCAAAACATAAAAATGCATATAGAAAGTAGAACTTTTTCAACTTAACTTTTGGAAGTGTTGCGGAAGGTCTGACACTTTTATATATATCTTAAATTAAAGCTAATGTAATATACTTTATAATGGTAAAAAAAAATTTCGGACTTTATTTTATCTTCATGGTGAAAACAGACATTAAACTTAATAAAAAAAATACAATTTTTGTAAAAAAAATTCTTTTTTATATTTTTAACTTTATAATGCTATAACTTTTTGAAAGATGTATGGATCAATATAATTTTTTTTTTTTGTAGATGCATGATGACTTTCCCTATCATTTGGTATATTTTTTTATAAATCTGACTTTTTACCTGCCTACAGGGGGGGATTCAAAATGACAACTTTTTCACAAAAAATTAATTTTTTTAACTTAAATTTTGAAAATGTTCCGGAAGGTCTGACACTTTTATATATATCTTAAATTAAAGCTAATAAAATATGCTTTATCATGAAAATAAAAAATTTCGGACTTTATCTTATCTTCATGGTGAAAATGGCTACCGAATGCTATTTTTGAGTGAAAATTTTCAATTTTGTATTTTCCATTTTTAACTTTATTATGCTATAACTTCTCGAAAAATGAATGAATCATTACAATTTTTTTAAGAAAAGTAGTATTTATATAGATCTTTCATTCGACATACTGTTTTTTTAAATCGGACCATTTCCCTAAATACAGGGGGGATTCAAAACATAAAAATGCATATAGAAAGTAGAACTTTTTCAACGTAACTTTTGAAAGTGTTCCGGAAGGTCTGACACTTTTATATATATCTTAAATTAAAGCTAATGTAATATACTTTATAATGGTAAAAAAAAATTTCGGACTTTATTTTATCTTCATGGTGAAAACAGACATTAAACTTAATAAAAAAAATACAATTTTTGTAAAAAAAATTCTTTTTTATATTTTTAACTTTATAATGCTATAACTATTTGAAAGATGTATGGATCAATATAATTCTTTTTTTTTGTAGATGCATGATGATTTTACCTATNTATGGATCAATATAATTCTTTTTTTTGTAGATGCATGATGTCTTTACCTATCATTTGGTATATTTTTTTTATAAATCTGACTTTTTACCTGCCTACAGGGGGGGATTCAAAATGACAACTTTTTCACAAAAAATTTACTTTTTCAACTTAAATTTTGAAAGTGTTCCGGAAAGTCTGTCACTTTTTGATATATATATTAAATTAAAGCTAATGTAATCTACTTTATTATGTAAAAAAAAAATTTCGGACTTTATTTCGTCTTCATGGTGAAAATTGCTACCAAATGCTATTATTGTGTGAAAATTCTCAATTTTATTTTTACATTTTTAACTTTATAATGCTATAACTTATTAAAAAGTGTGTTGATCAATATAATTTTTTTATGGGAAATTCTATTTTTTAATAATCCCGTTTTTCATTCGACATAATTTATCTTAATCAGGATAATAATAAGGAACTAGCAGTTTATGAAGATTTTGGAATAATCCACCAATTTTATAAAATTAAACACTATCTAAAGATTAGCATCGAAACGTTTTTTTTCATAGTGATNAGATTTGCATCGAAGCGTTTTTTTTTGATAGTGATTTTAATCACTGTCAGATATCATTATACTTGATCCATCTATACCACGTCACCACTGTGCCGCGACCCCCCTGTGCTGGGTTTGNAGAAAAGATATACTTTAACAACTTCAGTAGAATTGATCATTTTTTAATAATCATTTTTAAAAGTAATTATTTATAATTTTACTACTAATTATCCTATCTATTAATTAAATATTAAGATAAGTAAAAAAAATTTACTTACCATTGTTGTCTATAGTTTCAAACAATTTTTCATAAGACTTGATAAAAATTTAATTGAAATAGATTTTATAATGACTTGAAGTAATTATTAAACGTATCGGCAAACAAGAAATAATTCTAATAATAAACAAAATAAATATAGTATGTTTGCAGAAAAAATATATGAAATATTGAAACACATTACATCATGCTTTTTTACCGTGAAATATCATTTGTATTTTTAGCACTGTAAAAACACAAAAATTATATTAGGTTTTATTTTATGACCAGTAAATAACGAATTACATATTTTACTAAAAAAGTTTATTAAAATTTTATAAATACGTAATATATATCAAAAAAATATATTTAATAATTATATATTAAATTTTTAATTATAAATCATCAATAATTAAAGTTATTTATATATTTGTTGAGCTGTTGTGTAGATTTATTTGCTCTTATTATGTTAATACTTGTAACGTGATAAAAAGCTAACCTCTCATTTTTTGTATATTTTTTAAATATTTTACTCTGATTGAATCAAATGCGTATTGTGACGACGTTTAAAAGAGCTTTCAGGTACTTTTCTTCGGCGTAACAAAACATATTCCGAGCGATCTTAGATTCTAGAGGCTTGTAGTCATAAAAACAAGACAAAATTATCTACATATGTATACAGACAATTTTTAATATACAATTTTTGAAAAAAGTTATAGTCTTCTAAAATTTACGTTTTTTTAAGCTGTTATAACTTTGTTTAAAATTGGTTAATCGAAAATCACCATTTACAATCTCCGTCCATGTGAGCTAAACTGGGAGTAGATGTCGGAGTTGTGGCTAGAGCGCGTCATCTAATTGACGCTAAACTCAATAATATTTTTAGTATATGCGTCATCTATTGTTCTCAGAACAATGATCTATTATTCTTGACTTGAAGTCTGACCTGAGGCAATTCCTATGACGTCACACCTGAACTTTGACATAACATAAGCCCTATGATGGGGGCTCTAGCTGACGTTACATTTAAATACTGACCTACAGTTGGCCCTTAATATAAACCCTATGATGGGTCATAAGGTGAGCCCTAAGTGACCTATCCATCGTGATTGTGTCGTATGCAATGACGCTGTTGCCCGACGTGCTCTAACTTCACCATTGGGCCTTACAGCCGACAAGTCCATGTCGGGTCGGTCAAACAAAAAAAGTTCATTTTTGAAAGTAGATGCACGATTCAACGTGTATGTATAGCATGCGTCTAGTCCGGGCGTTTGATATGCCACAACCACACCACTGTGCTAATTTCCCCCGACGCTGTTGTTTTAGTACAATGTTGTTTGTTCTTTACAGCATTGACACTGTATTTGTGTGTACTACTACAGGCCCTTTTTGCCTTAAACATAGTATATGAAATACAATATACAGTACGGTTTTTATTGATGTATACGATATCTACAATACATATGGCCGTTGCCTGTGGATCTTGAAATATACTAATGTGTTTAGTATATTAAAATGAAACCGAATACTGAACATATATTTAAAAAGTAGTTGCACGTGAGACTACAATATTATTGTGTCTTTCTATGGTGGACGACAAACGCATGAAATATTTACCACAAGGTTAACGTATTTACGTGTGACCTAAAGACATCTCAAGTGACAGTCCGTTTGTATATCAAACACGATGGACAGTATCAACGGTAGCACAATCATCAAAACATTGTGGGGGTATATTAAACAGATAATATATATGTATTAGAGTGGTCCTTTTTTATCGACTTAGGAAATTCCTTGGTCACACCCTCCAAATTTGTTTTTATACATGTAAAAACGAACCAAAAAAAATTTCACTTCAATCAGACAAGTTTAACCCATGCCTACTCGGGGTTGAAAATTGGACAATAGGGGTAGTTTTCTAGTATTTTGTACTTAATTCGGAAATGAGTGATCATAGAAAAAAAATTGTAGAATATAAATTGTTGACAATGTTATGGAATATAAGTTTATTTCTTACACATTTTTTTTTAAACTCATTAGTTTTCGAGCAAAATTTAAAATTATATTATATTTTATCGATTTGTCCAAATTGGAATATTTACGAATACTACATTATATTTGACAAACATTTAGAGATACGAATACATCTTTAATACAAAAATCGTTTATTATTTAATTATTAACTAATTCAGCACAAAAACGTGGTGTGTGCTAAGCATCCATCCCCCCAAAAAAAAAAAATTAAAAATACACAGTTGAAATAAAATTGCTGATTATTCATTATACAGAACGCAGTGGACGTCCAAATAGGGCAATGACCCCTGAAAATATTGATAAAATTCACAAAATTGTTTTGAATGATCGTAAAATGAAGTTGTATTAGTTAGATGATATCATAAAGATATCAAAAGAACGTATTGGCTTTATATTGCATGAGAATTTGTCCATGAGAAAGCTCTGTTCAAAATGGGTGCCATGTTTGCTCACTGTTGAGCAAAAACAACAACGTGTAGATTATTCTAAACAGTGTTTAGTCATGTTCAAACGTAATAAACCGGAATTTTTGCATTGATGGAATTGATCACAATGGACGAAACATGGATTCATCACACCACTCCAAAATCAAAACGATCGTCATTTGAGTGGACAGCAGCCGGTGAACCTCGTACAAAGCGCCCGAAAGCACAACAGTCAGCTGGAAAGGTAATGGCCTCAGTATTTTGAGATTAGCAAGGTATAATATTCATAGACTACCTTGAGAAGGGAAATACCATTAACAGTCAATATTATATAGCGTTATTGGAGCGTTTAAAGGCCGAAATTACAAATAAATGACCGCATATGGCAAAAAAAAATTCTGTTTCATCAAGGCATGCACTGTGTTACAAATTAAAAAACACAATGTCAAAAATAGGTGAATTAAAAATCGAATTGTTCCTCATCTATCATATTCTCCAGATTTCGTTTCCAGTGAGCACTGGTTATTTGCAGATTTAAAAAAACTGCTCACCGGCAAGAAATCTCGCTCGAATGAAGAGGTCATCAGTGAAACTGTGGCCTATTATGAGGCAAAAGATTAATCATTCTGCAAGACGGTATTCAAATGTTAGAGCGGCGCTGGAATTATTGTGTTGCTCTTGATGGAGATAATGTTGAAGAATAAAGTCAATTTTTAATGAAAAATCCGTGTTTTCTTTGGGACTTTTCAGTCCATGTGTAATACAGTATATTACAATTTATTTTATACTCTTTTTGTGATTTATTTTTGTATATATTATAATCAGTCACCCCAGTATACATAAATGTTGTTATAACTGTTTGATATATCAAATTAATCAATATTTTTTTTTGTACTGTACAACTTATAACAGAGTTCAACACAATTTTAACGAATGATGAAAATCAAAAACAGTATTTATTACAAATTTTCAAGGATTATAAAAATAATCCCGAGAATAAAAATTCAACTTTATTATGATGTAAACAATTTTGAAACTGAGAAAAACAATTACTATAATTTATACATTTGTAACATCAGCAATTTTTTTTTAACTGTGTATTTTTAATTTTTTTTTTTTGGGGGGATGGATGCTTAGCACACACCACGGTTTTGTGCTGAATTAGTTAATAATTAAATAATAAACGATTTTTGTATAAAAGATGTATTCGTATCTCTAAATGTATCGCTAAACACAGTCTCTTGGAACACTCTGATTATTGATATTTATAAGGTTTTTACTTTTGAATAATCATTACATTTTTTGTTTTTACATTTAAATCGCTCTTTACAATTATATATTGTATATAAATATAATTACTGGTTTACACATACTACCACACGTGATGTTGGTCGTTTTTGTATGGCGCTACCAAATATCAGCGATTACGTCAGATTGTTTATCATGTCTTGACTTACCACGTCGTAAATGTCTCTTCGAGATTATCAGCTTGGCGCAAAACCGTGTAAACCAAATAAAGGGCAGTTCTAAATGCTCGTTTATACCACACTATGCATTAGAAGCAGTCTTTACTTATAATGATTCAAAAGTTTTATAAAAAATAACACGTCTCATGCCGATTGCGCGTTCACCACCGAAAGTACGTGAGCAATATCACGACTTGTTGTTCGCCGATCCCCACTTCGACACACCCGGTACGATAATTATGTTGTTGGGCGGAGATGTCTTTCCACATACTGTACGTCCAAAGGCGGAGATCATACACATGAAAAGTCTACCCTCCGCTCTTGACACCTACCTAGGATGGATATTAGTAGGTACAGTCTCGTTCACTGACACTTTGCCTCAGCCATTGACGTCATTGCCGTGACTCTTAGCCCATCTGTTGACAGTTTGTTGCGTCAATTCGGACAATAGAAGAGCCCGTCTGCCCCGCTACTTCCTACAATAGAAGATGAACTCTGTAATCACTGGTTTAAACATACTACACACATGATGTTGGTCGTATTTATAGTGCACAGGTTCAGATGAGTTTGGTTAAGAATTACGTATAAAATTATCGATGCAAATAATTTATTCATAAAATAATTCGGTATTTTTTTAAGTTGAATTTAAGAATTTTAAATTAATGACTTTGGATTATAAATGGCAGGAACGTATTGATGAGATTTACGAGTCGAGTAAGAAATTACAATAAATATTATATAGTATATATAATATTATAGTTATATAGTAGAAGAACTTTAACAAATCGAAGTTCCCTCCAAAAAAAAAAACTACTATGTACCAAATTTACAATTTTTAAATTTTTGTATCCCTTAATTAAAAAAAAAGTAAACGAATATTATGAAGATTAATGCTTTATCTTCTTAGCATAATTAATGTAATACAAAAATTAAACCCCTCAAACCTTCCCCATATAGTCAATTATTACTGGATAGGCCATGGTGCCTCATCACACGTTCCCGAAGTCCGTTCTAAGTAGCTTCCTTTTTTATATCCATGGAAAAATTCAATAAAGAAACGAGTTTCTATTTTTTTATTTTTTTATAACAATTGACTTGATTATCTACTTACTGAATACCCATATGATATTTTACATGCAGTAAATTTTTTATGTTAATAAACTTCTTATATGTTCTCTACATGGACAATAATGATTAGATAAGCTATTGGATG